TGTGTGTGTGTGTGTGTGTGTGTGTGTGTGTGTCTGTGTGTGTGTGTGTCTGTGTGTGTGTCTGTGTCTGTGTCTGTGTCTGTGTCTGCGTCTGTGTGTCTGTGTTTGCGTCTGTGTGTGTCTGTGTCTGCGTCTGTGTGTGTCTGTGTGTGTCTGTGTGTGTGCGGCTGTTGCATATGCAAAAGGAGTGTGCCTGCTGTGATGTCCCCACGATGAGCAACTCCCATAGAGCACCCCAATTCCATGCATCTCACACGTCACCACCACCACCACGACGGCAGACCGTGATGGATATCCCGCGAGCCCCGATGACATCTTCCTCACGGCCGGTGCCAGCGAGGGCATTGCAAACGTGCTTGAGGCCCTCATTGCAAACGACAACGTTGGCGTACGTTACTCCGCCCACACACACACACACACGCACACACACACACACGCACACACACGCGCGCGCGCGCAAGTGCGGGCCACACAAATGCCGTTAGCTTGCCCACCCGCCACTCGCAACAAGCATGCAAGCCTTGCATGTCGCAGTACGTGACTCCAGACACGCTCACACGTGCATCTGCAACATTGCGTGCAGGTGATGATCCCAATCCCGCAATATCCGCTCTACAGCGCCACCATCACCCTCTGCAACGGCCGCGCCGTCCACTACTACCTGGTACACGTGTCCGCCCGTGTGTGTGTATGTGTGTGTGTATTCGTTTGTTTGTCTGTCTGCGTGTCTGCATGCGCGCTTGTTGGTCAGAAACTTTTCGGAGATACGTCAGGGCACGCCTCCTTTTCACACACACACACACACACACACACACACACACACACACACACACACACACACACACACACACACACACACACACACACACACACACACACACACACCCTTCTTGCTGCAGGATGAGGAGAATGCGTGGGACATGTCGCTTGACGAGCTGAAGCGCTCCATTGCCGCCGCCCGCAACGAGGGCACAGACGTGCGCGCACTCGCTGTCATCAACCCAGGCAACCCGACCGGCCAATGCCTCAGCCGCGAGGCAATCGAGAACGTGATTCGCTTCTGCAACGACGAGGGTCTTGTGCTGCTGGCTGACGAGGTGTACCAGACAAACACATACGATGCCACCCGCCCCTTCTTCTCCTTCAAATCGGTTCTCCGCTCCATCCCAGAGTGCAGCGAGGTGCGTGCGTGTTTTGCCTGCTTGTCTACTGTGGGCGTTGTGTTGGTGCATGTTGGTGTGTATGCGCACTTCTGTTGTTCCGCACAACTACCTCAACTCACTCTTGCTTTGCGATTGACAACACGTGCGATTGCAGAGCGTGCCGCTGTTCTCCTTCCACAGTCTTAGCAAGGGCATGCTTGGCGAGGTGAGCGTGCCATTCTTTGTGCGTGCTGCGTTCTTTGTTTCCATCAACCACAGCCATAGATCCGGCGCCCAACCAACACGACTGCAGTCCGCTACCTTCGTCTCACCTCGTGTTCGTGTGCTTGTGGGCGTGCAACAGTGCGGCCGCCGCGGTGGCTACATGGAGATGACAAACATCGACCAGAGCGTGCGCGAGAACCTCCTCAAGCGCGCCAGCATCAACCTCTGCGCCAGTGTCGCCGTAAGTGTCCTCTTCGCCATACTTGTGTGTGTGGGTGTGGGTGTGGGTGTGGGTGTGGGTGTGGGTGTGGGTGTGGATGTGGGTGTGTGTGTGGGTGTGTGTTTGCAACAGTCGATACCCGGGATGTTTTTTTCATCCCTTCTGCCGCCACCACCACTGCCACCACCACCACAGGGTCAGGCAATGGTTGGCATGATGTGCCAGCCACCAAAGCCTGGTGACGAGTCGTACCCACTGTACAACGAGCAGTTCACGGCCACATTCGGTCAGTTTGCACGGAGGTCACAAATGCGCTGTTGTGCATGCGGTTTGTGTTTTCTTCTTGTTTTGTTTGCCTCCTTCCTATTCGCCTTGTCATCGTGCGCTGCTGTGTGCTTGGTGTGTGTTGTGGTACACGGCTCCTTTACTTCCCATTCCTTACTTCGTATCTCACTGCACAATTGCAACCCTCCCCCTCACACCTCCCCCTCCCCTTCTGTTGCGCCTCCCCCTCACACCTCCCCTTCCCCCTCTGTTGCGCCTCCCTCTGTCTTGCCGCCATCGCGTGCACAGAGTCCCTCAAGCGCCGCGCCCAGAAGCTCTCGGATGCCTTCAACAGCATGCCAGGCGTCTCATGCATCCCTCCCACGGTAACATGATTAGCTGGTTGTGCTTGATGACTTGCTGTTGTATAAAGTGGCCACTGCCATTTGCCCTTCCTGTGTTCTTCGGCACACACAGACACACACTCGCACACACATTATCACACTCACACTCGCACTCACACTCGCGCACACACACACGCACTCACACACACACACACACACACACACACACACACATACACACAAACATACAAACACTCACATACACATACACACACAAACATACAAACACACATTCACTCGCGTGTAACCCAACACTCGTGCTCGTGCTTGTGGCGGTGTGCCCCAGGGTGCAAAGGGTGCAATGTACCTGTTCCCTCGCATTGAGCTGTCGAGCACAGCGCAGGACGCCGCTGCCAAGAAGGGCCTCGCCCCAGACGCATGGAGCTGCTCGAGCAGACGGGACTGGTGCGTGGCGAGAACACTGCTGATGGTGATCGTGCTGTTGATGGTGGTACTGGTGGTGGTGGTCCTCATGATGGTGCGAGCGGGAGGGGCGAGGTGACGGTGGTCAAATGCATCGTCGTTGCTCAAATGTTGAAGGCGGGCCATCACGTTGTTTTCACCCACTGACCAACCCCTCTCTCTTCCAACACGAACATTGCCAACGGGTGGCTCCAGTGCGTTGTGCCCGGCTCTGGGTTTGGGCAGCGCGAGGGCACGTTCCATTTCCGCTGCACCTTCCTCCCGCCCGAGGAGGACATTGACGGCCTCGTCGACTCAATCAGGGTGAGTTGTGTGCGTGTGTGTGTCTGTGTGTGTGTGCGTGCGTGTGTGTGTCTGTGTGTCTGTGTGTGTCTGCGTGTCTGTGTGTGTTCGCGTAGTTTTGGATGTTGCTCATTCTCCATCACCTCTCCCCTCAGCTCACTCGCGTCTCGCCTTCATGCTTGTTCTTCCATCTTTCGTTCACCAGGCGTTCCAAGAGAAGTGGGTGGCGACCTACGGCCTTTGAAGCCGCGCCTGCTACTTCCAACCCACCAGCTTTCCTCAACACACACACACACACACACACACACACACACACACACAGTGGTGCTCTTTCACCGCGTGCACACACACACACGCGCGCGCGCGCGCGCACACACACACACACACACACACACACGCACGCACGCACACACACACACACACACACATATTCTCTGTATCAACACTCGAAGAGCGACAACAGCTACCCCGTCACAGAGGTCGGGGGTGCGCCACCACCACAGACCTGCCGCCTTGTTTTGGGTCTCGAGCTCCTCGCGCGTCTCCATATATTTCTATATCGGAGAGCACACACGTGACGCGCACACGCGTGTGTGCATATGAGATTCACCACTCTGGAGGGTGTGGGTGTGGGAAGAGAAGAGAACAAGATGTGAAAAATCCGTGTGCGCACAAGTGTTTTCACACACACACACACACACACACACACACACACACACACACACACACACACACACACACACACACACACACACACACACACACACACATGGTGCGCCTACTCGTTGGCCATTGCGGCCTCGACGGCCTCCGATGCGGCCGTCTCAATGATGTTGGCAATGACATCCTCCAGCACCCCGCTGACGGAAAAGTACTCCTGCAGTGGCTCCGGGATAAGCGAGTCGAGTGGCTCAACAGCGCCGCCGCACGCAGCGCCGAGAGGCTCGCCAACAAGCGCGCTGACCAGGCCGCCCACAAACTCGCCCACGGCCTCTGCCACGTCGATGCGCGCGTCGTGGTGGTACTTCTCCTTGATCTGCGTCAGCACCACCTCCTGCTTCTCCTGCACCTGCGAGTGCTCGCCGTTGGTGGCGTCCTCGAGCGACACCTCAAACGTGTACGCGGCGCGCTCGGTGTTCTCAAAGGTGGCCTCCCGCAGCGCCATGACAAAGTCGCCGAGCTGCAGGTTGTCCACAACCTCCTTGACGTTGTCGACGACGCCAGAGACGCCCTCTGGGATGAGGCCAAACACCTCCTCCGCCGTCAGCAGGGCCTCCAGCGACGAAAACGCCTCAATGGGCTGCACCATCTTGTCGTGGGAGCGCTTGATGTGGCGCATGGAGGGGTTTCCCCCCGTGGCGCGCTCCTCGCAGTAGGCGGCCGTCTCGGCCTCCAGCACGGGCTCGATCGAGGCAACGGGCTCCTTGGTGCGCGGGATGAGGAAGGCGGCCACCTTGGTGCACACGGGCACGATCACCTTCTCGCGCATCGGCGCCACGACAGGCTCAATGGCGTCGTTGATCTTGTCCGTGAGCGTGCCGCGGGTGGACTCGGCCTGCTCGGCGACCTTGGAGAAGCCCGTCTCCACCAGCTGCTTGGCCTTGTCCAGGGCGGCCATGGTGGCCACCCAGCTGGCCTTGACCGTCGTCTCCACCAGCTTGTACACCGTCTCAAAGCCCTTGGCGAGCGCCTTGACCTTGATGTTGGCCGGGCCGGGCACATTGGCAAAGGCGTCGTCGCCGACGCGTTTGCGCCATGTGTAGTTGGCGAGGATCTCGGTGAGGATGTCGACCTCGGAACCGTACGGCAGGGCCTCCCACAGGCGGTTCCTGAGGTTTTCCACGGCCTTGTCAAAGGCCTCCTTCTGCAGCTCGTCCTTGAGGGTGCCGGCCTCGACGTTGCGCACACACGTGTGCAGGATGTCGGCCCACTCATCAAACTGGGCCTGGTCCTTGCACTTGATGAGCCAGCGGCGCTTGACGCGGTGGTAGCACTCGAGCGTGTAGGGCTCGTACTTGCTGTACTCGCCCGCGTTGCCGC